TATATTAGAACGAGCCGACCCGCGGCATGTCATACGCCGCTATTTAGTTGTTTTATTTTCTACTTTTCAGTAATTCATAATTTGTGAATTTGACAGTACCAATGCTGCCACTGAAAATATTTGCTTTAAAATACTAACCCCCTCCCTTTCCCCTAACCCCGACCCTACCCCCCCCTCCCTCCCACCGTGAAAGCAGCCTCCACTTAGTTACCTCCTGTAAGTTTAAAATCGTTTCAAACTAAATTATCTGCCCCTAATAGCCGTCACTAAACCCGGCTCTACTATTTGTAAACATTTAGCGTGACCACAGCTCACCAGACCATGTGGGGGTGGGGTGGGGGTGGTAGTGATAGTGATAGAGAGAAAGAGAGGGGACTGCAAGGCGCGCTTGCAGCTTGTTTTCTAGCGTCTCCCAGAAGAGAATTATATATATACGAGCCGGCCCGCGGCATAACATACGCCGCTATTTAGTTGTTTCTAATTTTCAATAATTCATAATTTGTGAATTCGACAGTACCAACGCTGACACTGAAAATATTTCTTTAAAACACTATAAGTAGCTCGTTAAGGACCATAACCCCCCCCTCCTTCCTTCCCCCCCCCCCCCCTCCCCCCCCTACGTTTAAAATCGTTGGCTCTGCTTGTAAACATTTAGAGTGAACACAGCTCACTAAAACCATGTAGGGGTGGGGAGGTAGGGAGAGCGTTTGCAGCTTGTTTTCTAACGGCTCGAAGAGGAGAATTATATATATAGATAGATATTCGAGAAAGTTTAGGGGAGATCACTCCCGGTTTATTTAAATTCTAAATAGTGCACGTAATCATTTTGATTAAACTAATTGCAATTTCGAAATCAATATGCCTGTTTGCCCTTATAATTAACATATTTTTAATTCCGTTTGATTTTAATTAATGTTGTAGAGTAAGTAACGAATGTAGAAAAGCCTTACATATACGGGTAAACAAAAGAGGGCAGGAAAAAGAAAAGGAAAACAGCATAGGGGGCGGCGTGGTCGGATGGTAGTGCTTCCGACTGCAAACCCGAGTGTTTCGAGTTTATATCATGGAGTCGAGTCTGTAGGACGTCCCTGAGTCAACCCAGCTTTTATAGGTACTTGACTCTCGTTTGGGAAGACAAGGTGGCTGGGCATAGTGCTGACCACACTGTCCTCTGTATACTGAAGACTTTGAAACAGATTAACTCTACTTCATCTTCCCCATATGTCTTGGGCAAGAGCGGAAGAAGATGATGAGTATTGAGTTGAAATTCGGCATAGAAACTTATTATTATCATCATCAACCGGACTACAATCTTTCTGACAACTTACATGAATGATAGAGCAATAGTTAAACTATAGCAGACATATCTTACACCGACTTTGTTGAACTCTACTACGTCACACACAAACAGCTATCGCAATGCAATCTTATGTTTTTTAAAATTGTGTTATAGTTCAGCTACTGGATGCTTTGAAAACACAAAATACATTTTTTTAAATGATCAACTTTTTCAAGCTCCAATCATGGTATATCATGTATTGAAAATGGTTCACTAACGGCTCTAACGTTAAATAGAGTACACAAACAGTTTTTCTTTCTCAGTTTCTTTTCGTTCTCGCCTTTGACTAGATTTGTCTGAGCTAATGGAATTTTCAGGCCAGTATCGACGACTTATAGATCTATACCACAGCTAGGAGCAAAAAATATCTGTTAAAATGCGTCAGTCATGACGTGAACCATAAGATGGGCTTCTTCATTAATCAACAGTTTAAAATAGTTTAGTATATACGGTTAGGATAAAGCGTTTGTGTTCTTTGATGGGTTAGGTAAGAGGGTTTATGTTCATTAAGGTGTTGTTAAGAGATGCACTATTATCGAAGTGGTTGTCGGAGAATGTACTGTTCTTGAACTAAGGGCTAAAAGGAGCGCTGTTGTTTTAGTTCAATGTTTACAGTGTCTGAGTGTGTTTACATGTCCGGCAAGTTGTGTGTAAGAAGACGCTACAACATTACCGAATTGATCGCTTCATAATAAAACAGCTCAGCTTGCCCTGAAAAGAACTTTGGCTTTTCAAGCTGACATAAGCTTGTTATACGGCTTATGCTTAATTAAGGCGCCTGTACATTGAGTTACAGAGCTAGGTGTTGGGGGGGGGGGGGGTATATAGGGCGTTTGTCGATGCTTTCCCCTTACGGCGCCCCCTGACAGAATTCTTCCAGATTCCCCGTGCTAACAGGGTCATTTTTTCTCTTGTTTTGATCGTTAAGTATTTCTTTAGAAATTTCAAATACAAGTTTTCGCTACTCTTTTTCTCTAGCCATTCTGAGGTAAGCTCCACAATTGGTCCCTAGTTAAGGGGGTAGCTTTGTTGTGATAAAATCAGTTTAAAACAAAGAAATAAGTACTAAAGATTTTTTTTAAAAGTATTATTTCGGTTACAAATAGAAACACACACATTTTTTTTTAAAAAAAGGAAGTATTTACAAAAAATAATATGAAGAATATGTAGTAGAGTTAAAGTTAAAACAGTAAAATCAGGATTCTTCTTCTTAATTCTAGTGTTGGAAGGGATTCCTTCCAACAAAGTAATACATGTTATGTACCAAGGCCGTTGACTCTCAGTCTGCTTTTCTATTTGGATTTGCTTCCATAGCCTTTGTCCAATAAAAAACAAACTACAAGTCAGCAGTTTGATTTTAGAGTTGTCTCTCTTAAAAAAAGAGTTGCCGTCCCTATCCGTTTTAGCCATAACGGAAAGCACTGGCACCACTGTCTCCATTTTCATCTACCCGAGCCTCATCTGCCCCGGGGTTTGAACTTGGGACTTTACGGTTCATCAACCATGAACTTAACCGATCCGACCAGGCCGACCTCCCCAAATCAGAAGTAATTGCCTGCTAAGATCTAAAAACTTTATTAGTTATAAAAGTTACGGACAGAGAAAATAGTATCTTTAAAAGCAGTATGACCACTCGTTCATATATGAAGTTTCCATAGTTTACTTGTTCATATCTCAGGGTCCATAACCTACTTGTTCATATCTGACGGGCAATATTCCATACGAAGTAAAACTCATGTTTCTCTGACCACCGAAAGTGATTGGGCTTGTCACTCATCAGAGCTGGGTGAGCTCAGAGACATTCTACGTCCTTCAGCCCGGGAAAAAAAAACTCGAAGCTTCCAGAAATTAAAAAAAATATTCGTACTAGACACACTGGTGGAGAAGATTTTGACTTCTGGTCATTATATTTTTACTGTTAAAATGTGTTTTTTTTTTGCTGCGGTTTTTGGCAACAAAAAAAAACCAGTTACATTAATTTTTTCACAGCCTATTTAATTCATTTAACTGACCAAATTTTATATTTCGAAATTTTAATTAACATTTTGAAATCTTTGCCATTTTTATGAAATTAAAAGCAACCATAAAATGTACTAAAATCAATATATACTGACACCCCCCCCCCCACCCCCATTTCATTTTCCACCACTTCACCTCGATGTTGTAACTCTCCATCAGCCAAAGTGCATAAAACTTAACAGCGGAAAATGATTAGAAATTAATATTTGTGCTATAAAAACTAAATAAAACCAAGTAATTAGCAGAGAAAGTAAAATACATTTACACGGCCGATAGAGCTCCACTAATTACAGATAAAAATCGAAAAAAAAAATTTAAACAGACCAATTAAAATTAGTTTTTTTGTGTTGGTTTCTGTTTGGGAAGGAGGGGGGGGGGGGGGGGAGAAGGAGAAAAATAAAAATAAATCATATAACAAGTTTGTTTCATTGATTTATGTTTCTAATAATAGAAAGGATAGTAATTGTTTGAAAGGAGTTTGAAGAAGATACTACTTGTATGTGAAGCTTGTAGTTTATATCTGTGGCTTGTAGTTTATATGTGTAGCTTGTATCTTACATGTATGGCTTGTAGTTTGAATGTGCAGCTTGTAGTTTATATGTGCAGCTTGTAGTTTATATGTGCAGCTTGTAGTTTATATGTGTGGTTTGTAGTTTATATGTGTAGCTTGTAGTTTATATGTGAAGCTTGTAGTTTATATGTGTGGCTTGTAATTTATATGTGTGGCTTGTAGTTTATATGTGTGGCTTGTAGTTTATATGTGTGGTTTGTAATATATATGTGTGGCTTGTAGTTTATATGTGCAGCTTGTAGTTTATATGTGTGGCTTGTAGTTTATATGTGTAGCTTGTAGTTTATATGTGTGGTTTGTAGTTTATATGTGCAGCTTCTAGTTTATATGTGTGGCTTGTAATATATATGTGTGGCTTGTAGTTTATATGTGCAGCTTGTAGTTTATATGTGTGGCTTGTATCTTATATGTGTGGTTTGTAGTTTATATGTGCAGCTTGTATCTTATATGTGTGGTTTGTATCTAATATGTGTGGCTTGTAGTATATATGTATGGCTTGTAGTTTATATGTGTGGCTTGTAGTTTATATGTGTAGTTTGTAGTTTATATGTGTGGCTTGTATCTTATATGTGATGTGTGTAGTTTATATGTACAGCTTGTAGTTTATTGTGCCGCTTGTAGTTTCAGCATTAAAATCCCACAGATCATGTACTTATTACATAATACAAAATATGACATTTATTGCCACCACTACTGATGACGTAATTGATGTACTCTTGACGTAATTTGTTGTATACATTTGAATATATTTTGTCTATCAGTATTATATTCATTACAAAAATTATTATATTTTCTTAGTTTACCTTTAAACCTAAATAAATTATGTATTTGTCCCTATTCACTTATTGTAATATCGGAAACCATCGCTTTAGGTCAATGATTGGGACTAGGACTATGGCAATAGTTAACATTAGGCCGAGTTTAGTATTTCTGTTTGACTTTAGGGTTTGGTTTGTTGTCGAATTATTAACGTAGACAATATCACTTATCCAAATACATTTCCATTAAATCAATTTTAGTCGTCTTTTTAAAAACATGTTCTATAATTTGTCCTTTCTCTCTATTTACCAGAATCTCAACCATCATGCCAATGGGATCTGCACGTGTACTCACGAGCTTGGTGCTGCTTGGACTCGTTGCCTTGTCCGTCTGCAGGACCTCGCCCTTTGACCCAGAAGAAGAGATCAACGACTTCCAGGACGACCTCTCTAAAAGGTCATTTCCGGGAGACGCCTCCCCAGACCCGCTCCTCCTCGCGCTGAGAGCGCATGCGCATTCACTGCGCCAGCTGGAGTCGGCCATTTTAGATCAGAAAAGATCCCTGACCAGTGGTCAGTACAGCTCCTTTCCATTTAGGCTCGATGACGACACGGCGTATAGGGGCATGAAGCGACGGTCGCTCTGGTCGCCCCTAGGGTACCTGCCCGCCTCTGCAAGGGTTCAGGGCAGCAGCTCCGGCACCGCCCGGCCTGAAAATGGAGAAAGTGGTGCCAGCGCTTTCCGTTACGGTTAAAACGGATTGGGACGTTAAATACCATCAACAGCAACAACAGTAACAACAGCAACAGCAACAACTGCAACAACTGTAGCAACAGCAACAACTGCAACGACATCAACAACAGCAACAAAAGCAACACCACCACATCATTTAGCTTAGTCATTCATTAAGGTATTTGACATTATGTCGTCATCAGCACACGTCAAAGAGAATCTGAAAATCTAAAACAAAAAAAAAACATTTAAAAAATTAGGTTTGAATGTATTGTTTTTCTTCCACAATATCGCCGTGGTTGTAGGATTGGCATTTTTAATTAGTTTATTTTAATTAGCGAATTAAAAATCTATTGTAATCGCATAATGATAAGATTGTTGCAAAAATAAAACAAATCTCCTTTTACAATGTGTAATATTAGCCATTTCAGAAAAAAACAAATTGTCAACGGCTGGTTGTTATTGTCATCAGTTGTTTGTTTTCCTAATCTTTGTTTTGTTTGTTTGTGGCTGTTTTAGTTTTCGATTGTTTTATTGTCAGTTTCATATTTTCGATAGATAATCAGCTAGATTAAACAAGGTGTCGCGGCTTCTTTTTGTCTACAGTGTATATCTTCACGGGCATGATTTTATTTTTATGCCTGAGTTTACCTCAAGCATCACTCGGGTGGGTGTGGGGGCGGACACAATGTGTGTATATATATATATATATATATATATATATATATATATATATATATATATATATATATATATATATGTGACGAGCGAACATTTACCCTGCTCGCAGCGCCAATTGTGACGAGCGAACATTTACCCTGCTCGCAGCGCCAATTGTGACGAGCGAACATTTATCCTGCCGACAACGCCAATTGTAACGAGCCAACAGTTACCATGCTCGCAACGCCACATGTAATGAGACCTAATTGCCTGTAGTGCCACGTGTTAACGAGTTTAACCACTCATTCTAGACAACATTGACCACAGTATAGATACTCAAGATGCAGGTTCGCTATTGATCCTTTATTACATGAATCAAGAAATGCTTCATAATAACACAATAAATCAACAGGAATGCTTCTCAATAATAGTCTGAATCAACTGACCCCTAACAGTCCTTCACTAGGCTTTATATAACTGAATCCACATGTCTATAATCCTTCTTAACACAATACGGCTAACCCGTTCTATAACCGACTTGACATAGTCACACAGACTGACTGATCTAAGCGAGCGATGAAAGAGGTAAGAGCCTCGAAACGGGAAGAGAACGAGTTCTGCCGTCCCCTCCTATTTATGCCTTGAAATCGTAGTCGTACTTGTCTCCATTTCCGTAATCGATACTTGTAATCGATGTATCCGAATACTAATGTCGCAGTTTCTGACGTACCGTCCGATTCACTAAAACATCTGCGTCCCATCCATCAAAGTTGACAGCTCGTCTGAAACTTCTCGTACCGTTTCCCAAAATAGCACGCGTTGGCTTTGAGATTGTTATCAGACCGATCCAATAAGCCACCTGTTATGGTTGCGTCAGATTTCATACTGCGTCGCGGCTTCTCGTTCGTTATCATTTGTAACTGGTAGTTAGGCCTACCCCAGTTACATCCACCCCTGCTTTTTTTGTGTGTTTTCAACCACAAACAACGCCTGGCAGGTGCACTTCCTAAATGTCCATCGCATCATCGTAAAAAAAAAAAATTTATTGTTCCACTCACTGTCCACGACGTTCCATTCGTATACGATTGACAGTTATACCTATTTCACATATCAACTGTGTCTACATCATCTTCCTGAGACACAAAACAGTTCTAGAATTCACATCCACCCTTTCCATTTGGTGCCTTCACCAGTTCACTTCTATAGCTCTTTGAACAGTCTGTTTTCATACCAGCGCGACCATGAAAGAATTGATGGTTGCTGACAAAAAATTTCGTATTCCTTCTGTTCCTTAAACTTCTCCGCGGACCACTTATCTGATGGTCTACTGTCTCTCTGCTTCTGGAGGGACCGGGATCCTCATTGTTGCCGGTATCCTCCCCTTGCGTATCGCGGTTGTTCTGTTGATGGTGATATGGTTCCGGAATGGGTATGTGACTTTCCGTTAGAACTTCCGGTTCCCTAATTGTCTTGGGTTTCTCTGTGTGTAACTGCTCTTCTTGCCTATTCCAATATTTCTTTAATTGAGCAATATTCGCCCACCGATCCGGTTTGGCGTGATCGATGGGTCTTATCTTAAAGGGGCCACCTGCTGCTTTAGGCATCTCCACGACTTGCCATATCTCCTGTCCCCAGAGATCGTGGATTTTGTTTCTGCCTAACGGGTGGCTACGCAGTAATACCCTGTCATTCAGTTTGAGTGGCGGGTCCTTCGTCTGTATCGGCGGTTCCCTTCGCCGAGAATCATGTTCTAGTCTTTCCTGTACTACCCTGTACATTTCTCTAATTCTTCTCATATGTTCATTCACATATTCCAGTGCGGTGTATGAGCCAGTCATACTCTCCCTTTTTCCTAGGGACAAATCAAGAGGGAGTCGAGCCTCTCGTCCGAACAGCAACATGTATGGCGTAAAGCCGGTTGTGGCATGGGGTGTGCAGTTGTATAGATATACCAACTCTGGGAGAAAATCAGGCCAACGTTTTTTCTGTTCAGGTTCTAGCGTACGCAGCAAATCATGCATGCTGCGGTTGAACCGTTCACACTGTCCGTTTCCCTTCGGATTAAATGTGGTTGTTCTAGATTTGTTGATCCCGTAGTGGCTGCACAGTTGGTTAATTACTTCTGACTCGAAAGCCCTTCCTTGGTCAGAGTGTAATTGTCTTGGTATGCCATATTTGATGAACCAATGTTCTAATAAGACCTTTGCCACTGTTTTGGCAGTCTGATCTCGTGTGGGCACCGCCACAGTCCATTTGGTGAATACATCAGTCATTACCAACACATGTTCCGTCCCATCCGATGATTGCTCCAACGACGTAAAGTCCATAGCCACAATCTCTAGTGGTTTTGTCGCTAGTAGGTGTCCTGATGGCTGTCTCATTTTGACAACTGGCATTTTCGCATGCTGACACCTCACATAAGCCTCACAATGGCGTTTGACCTCCATTTCCATATTGGGCCAGTAACACCTCCGTCGTAATATTTTGTGCGTCCTGTCCTGACCCTGGTGTCCTGCCCTGTCATGTGCCAACCTTAGCACTTCTTCTCTTAACTGTCCAGGCACCACCACCTGGTGTATTGTCCCATCAATTTGGTCATGAATTCTCCGTATGAGAACACCATCCTCTATACTGAGACGGTCCCACTGACTCAGTATTTTCTTTGTTTCTCGACCAAATTGTTCTCTTTCCCTTCTTCCTGGGAATTTTTGTTCCTGGACGTATTTCAATAGCGGTTGTAAGCCACTATCCGTTCTCTGGGCATCTCTTATCTTTTGGTGATTAAGGCAATTAAAATCACTATTGTCCATATGTTCGGGCTCTGTGGATATGTGCTCCACCCCGGTCTGCCCGTTCTGCATCACTTGTACCCCATGAGGGATATCTGTTGACGCTCTGACCTCACATATTCCTGTCAGCGTTTCTTCCTCATCACCCGGTTTCTCGTAAGGATTCCTTGATAAGGCGTCCGCATTGCCATTGGACCGCCCCGGGCGATACTTTATCTCTAGGTCAAAGAGTGCCAATTCTGCTGCCCATCGCTGTTCGATGGATCCCAACTTTGCTGTCTTTAGGTGACTCAAGGGGTTATTGTCAGTGTATACCACACATTTAGCACCTAAGAGATAGTCCCTGAATTTTTCAGTCACAGCCCATTTTAATGTCAAAAGTTCTAGTTTCATGGCGCTGTAATTTGTCATGTTCTTCTCTGATTCCTTCAGAGCTCGACTGGCATACGCAATAACCCTGAAACCTTGCTTTTGTTGTTGTGATAGCACAGCTCCCAGGCCTTTAGAGCTGGCGTCAATTTCTAACCGAAATGGTTTGTCAAAGTCCGCGTAACCCAATATCGGTGCCTCTGTCAAAGCCTTTTTCAAGAGTTTAAACGAGTTCAGGCATTCATCAGTCCATAGTTCACCTATCAGGTGTGTTTTACCTTTCTTTTTCTCCTTACTGTGTTTCTTTGTCATTTTGTTTACCAAGTCATGCAATGGTGCGGCAATTTTTGCAAAACCAGGTACAAATTTTCTATAATAGGAAGCAAAGCCCAAGAATGACCTGACCTCTACCGTGGTTGTTGGTTGTTTCCATTCTTTAACAGCTGCAATTTTATCTGGGTCAGTGGCGATGCCATCCGACGAAATCACGTAACCCAAAAAATGTACCGATTTCAAACCAAAGCAGCATTTGTCTGGGTTCAGCTTTACTCCTATCTCCCTAAGACGGAGAAACACTTGTTCTAATCTTTTTAGATGGTCCTCCCAAGTTTTTGAGTAAACTAGAATATCATCCAAATACACCAACATTATTTGAAATAGAAAGTCACTCATAGCACTCTGCATTACTCGCTGGAATGTAGCAGGTGCATTAGTTAGACCAAACGGCATACGGGTCCACTCGTACAGTCCCAGTGGAGAAATAAATGCAGTTTTATGTTGATCGTTGGGGTGCATGGCCACTTGGTGGTAGCCACTGGCCAAATCCAAGGTAGAAAAAAATCTTGCTCCCCCCAACGCATCAAGACATTCATCAATACGAGGCAAGGGGAATGCATCCCTTCTTGTGATATTGTTCAATTTCCGGTAATCACAACACAGTCTTATCTCCCCTGACTTCTTTTTTACCACTACAATCGGTGCCGCATACGGGCTTGTACTAGTTGTAATAATTCCCTTTTCTAGTAGATCATTCAGGTGTGCCTTCACCGCCGAGTAGTGACTCGGTGGTAATCTTCGATAAGGTTGTGCCACCGGCTTGTCTTGTAGTAAGGGTATCTGGTGTTTGATTACTTCCGTGTACCCCAAATCACCCTCATACGAGGCAAATACATCCCTGTATTTATTCAGTAATTCATTTAATTTTGGGTCTTCAGTTTCCGGGATTATATATGATCGGCCACCCCTTTTCTTCACCTCGGCCGTCACATTGACCGACCTAATTGTTACTTCATTACTACTGGTATTGATCAGTTCGATGCACTGTGCCGACCTTTGTAACTCGACGTTCTGTGGTACTCCTACCAGAGTGTTAGTCGGTATAAAAATTTCTTCATCCAAAACATTTGCCACTAATCCTTGAACTAGTCCATTTTCCGCTGATGTGTATGTCCGCAGTAACACGACGCCTGCCCTCAGTGCGGCGCCACATGGTTCTATCATCACATCACCATTCACGCTTCTATCACCAATTTGTAATGTGATTGCCTTGACCGTGTTTGCCGGGACTGCTGTCCTTCCTCT